AGAATACTGCTACGTCATTGCCTAACTTTAAGTAGGATTGTGCGATGAATGATGCAGCATCTTCTCAATAAGGCTCTGCTTCAAGGGAACGCTCCTCTACGGCTACAATACACAACCCGTTATCAAAAAACTCCTATGAACATCATCATCATTTTTTATTGTCATGATAATGATGATTCTTGTTATCCTTATCATTGTTATTGCTACTATTAATATTATCATTATTGTACTTATTTTTATCATTTTTTTATTATTTTTTATCTATTTGTTATTATTATTTTTATTATTATTATTAATATTATTATTATTAATATTATTATCATTCTTATTATTATCATTATCATCATCATCATCATTATTATCATTATCATTCTTATTATCCTTATGACCTTCAGCATCATTGTAATCAATCATTACTGTTATCATCATCATTAGTAATATATGTGTGAGGCCCATGCACTGAGTAATGTAGCGACTCCTATCATGACCTAAGGATGTGGGACTTCCCGTGCTTTTAGACAATGAGTGTCACCATCGTTTTCGTCCAGCACACAACGCAGGTCGCCGCTCTTTTTTCGGTGTTAGGAAAGTGCTTTTCTAATTTTCACTGTTCTGAGAATGAATAGAAACTACACCGAAAGGGAAATCAGTCTTACTGAATGAAGATAATGCAAGACAAAGAGGAACATGAACTGTGTGATATTTGGTGGTTTTGAGGCACATGTGTCCGCATATTTAACACGTAATTCAACCAAAAGTAAATTCTGCCTCACGATGTAGGCGCTCCGTGACGGGGAAAGAGTTAAATCCATCGTTCGGGGTCAGGCTGATGATTAAAACGAATCATTACCATCGTCAGATTCATAATCACTATTATTCTTATTACAATAGAATTATACGCAGATGTATAGCGATTTTTATTGTTACCGTTGTTGTTGCTGTTAGTCATCATCGCTGCCGCCGAGCCGTCGCCGTCTTCCTCCTCTTCCACCTCCTCCTCCTCTCTCTCTCCTCCTCCTCCCTCCTCCTCCTCTCTCTCTCCTCTTCTTCCTCCTCCTTCTCTCCTTTTCCTCCTCCTCCTCCTCCTCCTTTTCCTTCTCCTCCTCCTCCTCCTCCTCCTCCTCCTACTTCTCCTTTTCCTCCTCCTCCTACTCCTCCTTCTCCTTCTCCTCTACCTCCACATCATCATTCACAGAAGGCTAACTTAAACAGTCAAGTACAATTCACTATATCGAGAAAAAAAACGGTCGTCACAGAAAAGAAGCCAGTTTAGTAGGCGAACTACTGGCGAGGTGTGAGGAGCCATTGCTTCCGAATCAAGAAGAATAAAATGAATATTAGTAAAACAAATAATGGTTAAACAAACATTGGTAAAATAAAAATTGGTATAACATATATTGGTAATAAAAAAAAATTGGTAAAATGAATACTGGCAAAACAGATATTAAAAGAAGTTGATGGCGATTAAAGTCGCCTAATATCTTGTCCAACAAGATCATTAGAGATATCCAAGGATCTTTAGATTAAGCATAGTACGAAAAGCGAAGAAGAAAAATAATTATAACCGAAGAGCATAAAGTAAAGCATAATTATGATGCTAAAGGTTTTAGAGCAAAGGCATTTCTTGACTGCTATTAATGAGAGGAAAGGCTTATGTACGCTTAAAAGCAACTCGGCAGCCGTGCTCCTCCGTGTTTGAATCAGGGATTCTTAAGTGCCGAATCTGGGCAGGAAGAGTCATCTAGTTTGATTGCCACCTGTTAGACCTTGTTCAGACGAGCGACTTTGTGGCGCGACTACTAGAGGCGCGTCTGCTAGGTCCATGGAAGTGAATAGGAGCGCACACACGTAGTGGCTTTGGCTGGCCTCTGGCGCTACTAAAGGCCCTATCATACTAGCACTTTTTCTGTCAATTTCTTTCTCCGCAAGGATCGTCTACAAACAGAACGCCTTCCAGACCAAGACGGTTACGACCGTTTCCGTCTAACTAATTTCCTTGTTTATCTTGTGCTATTAAAAAAGTAGATAGGATGATTGAATGTAAACATAAGCTAATATTTTAGAATATTCGTATATACAATATACAACATCATATTTCTTTAAAATAATGTAATATGTATGAGAATGTTCGTGTGATTCCCGGGACCTCACTCCGATAGCGCCATGTTTGTTTACATGATTTTCATTCGGAGTTCATTCAGAAACGCAAAAAATTGACGGAAAAAGTGTTAGTGTGATAGGGCCTTTTAAGAGATTTTCCTCACAGTCGCTCGGCTGCTCAGCCACTCGAGGAACAGTGTTGCTATGCGGCCGCACACACACGGCGACAGCCACTGCATTTTCATGGTAATGGCACGCCTCATTGGCTGGAGGGGTTGGGATTCAACCAATGAGAGATCATCACGTGGAGCGTGATGTCATCCTAATTTGATGGACATTCTCATGCAATTAAAGAGATATGGTTCAAGTTCTCGTAACTTCGGATACAATGTAAAGGATA